TTTTCAAGTGCCTCATATCTCTAGTGCTTCCAGCTCTTTGTTGTGTGTATAGTTAGATTAGTAGTTGTTAAGTTAGAGTTAGCAGTGGGAGGTGAAGGGGATTTCCTCTTCATGCCTGTGTTCCCTTCAGGGCCTCGGGCAGACCAAATTCTCAGGGGTTCAAACCCTGCAGTTCTTGCCTTAAGTCTATGCCTATGAGTGACCCCCATGACTCTTGTCTCTGGTGCCTGGAGTAAGTCCACCAGACTGACAAGTGCAAGACCTGCCAGGCCTTCAAACCACACACCAGAAAGGAGTGGGACTTTTGCTTGAAGCAGCTTCTCATGGAATCCTCTCTGCAACCTCAGATGCGGGATCTGTCACCAAGTGCTTCAGTGCGCAGCTCTTCTCCTTCAGTTCTGAGGCTGGTACTGAAAAAGGGGGCATCTTGGCACTGTCACTTCCCTGCTGAGTCTGCTTGCACTCCCCAGCACAAGTGGCCAAGTACTTGGAGTCAACACGTCTGGCATTTCCAGCATCAGCAGGCCCTGAGGGCTCCCAGAGAGGTGGCACCGAATCACAGTGCCCTTCCCATGCACTGAGTCCCATCCTCTTGGGGTTAACCATTGGTCATAGGCCCATCCTCCATGTAGACCGTCTTCGAAGCTGTGCAGGGCCTCATCAAGATGACAGTCCCTATCATTGGACAAGGTCTCCACTTCCCACTAGCCTTCACAGGAGAAGCTGGCCATGATAGGCCCACTAATTCTGGCCCAACTGTCTCCCCACTTGGAGACCTGGCAATGCTCAGAGTCCCAGGGTGGTCATCAGCTGTCTAACCTGTGGCGTTAGTCACACTCTTAGCACTGCTTTTGCAGCCGGTTCCCTTGGAGTTCTTCTCACTTGAGGGCTTCTGTGGAGGGCAGACCTTGGTTGGCTTTGGGGTCTTCACAATGCTCTGACTGTTCCTGTGGTCAACATCAAAAGGCTTTATGGCCACTCAGGTTCTGCGTTGTGGAAGATAACGAGCCTTCACTCTGCATTGTGTTTAAGCAACAAGTTGCCAGAGGCAATTTATTCGAGCAATATTGCAAGGGAAGACAGCACAAGCGGGTCTTCAAATACAAAACAATTAAAATCCAATATATATACCTTTCCATTACATATAACATTAAACAGTTACTTCCCTGCCCACTCAATTCCCATCGGACACTGTCTTATCTCCAAGGTTCTCACTGAGGTCAGCATTCCATTCTTAGCTTGGAGAGTGAGGCAGAGAGGTGAACGCTGCGTCTCTTCTAGCTCTCGCGTTAGCAGGACTCAGAGTGAACCAGACTCTTGCTCTGCTACTGACAAACCCTGAAATGGCCACCCAAATCCCCTCTCCCTTAATCCTGCTTCCACAGCGTCATCCAGTAATTGTTGGCATTCCCTTCTATCTCAACACCATTCTCCATTGCAGAGGTGTTCTTCCTGGTATAATACTGAGTTCTAGCATCACTCTTCAGAGTATGAATCTCCTCCTGAGGACCAGCCAGGTACTCCACCCCTCCCATTGGACCTATAGTGAATCTGCAACTTGTGAGACCTCTCCTGTAGCCTCCTCAAGTTCTTCCCCTGATGAAGCAGAGGCAGGCACTTCTGTCATGGATGCCCTCTCCCATAGACTACAGGGCATTTCAGGACCCCCTCTGCAAGGTGGCCATTATCCTCAACCTCCAGGTGGAGGAGATAGTGGAACAGGACGATCCTATGATGGACATCCTGGCTCCTGAGGCTTCTTCCTGGGTGGTCCTACCCATCAACAAGACTATATTGGTGTCTGTCAAAACTGCTTGGCAGACCCTCACCTCCATTCCCCTAACTGACAAGAGGCTGTCAAGGGATTCAAATACCTTTTCATCCAGGCTCCGCTGTGTTCCCGTCATGAAGGTGGTGAATGAAAAGGAACATCAGGGTCATCAGGCCTCAGCACCCAAATCCAAGATTGCTAAGTGCCTTGACTTGTGCAGCAGTAAGGTCTGTATGGGGCAGTTAGTTCTCGGACACAAAAAAAGCTAGCTATCCTGAGCTGCTACACCTATAATCTGAGCTCCTCCCTCCTTAAGTTTAAGGACTCCCTGCCCCAGGACTCCAGGGATGAGTTTGATGCTCTGGTCCAGGATGGCAAGGCTGTTTCAAAGACTTGCCTCCAGGCTTCCTTTGATGCTGTAGACTTCGTGGCCTGTGTCCTGGCCTTCTGTATTGCTATGTGGCAAGTTACCTGTCTGCAGCCATCTGGCCTTCCTCCTGAAAGCCAGCAGACAATACGGGATCTTCTCTTTGATGGGGTCAGTTTCTTTTCAGAACGGACAAATTCCTGGCTTCATAGCCTTAAGGACTCCAGGAACACTATGAAGTCCTTGGGCGAGGACACCCCTGCTATATAATGCAAGCCCTTTAAGCCTCAGCCACAGAGGTCTTTACCCTCCCATCCTTGGCCTGACTATTTTCATTGCTGCCCATTATACCCTGGCCACAAACCGTCCGTGGGTCATTCTGGTAACAATCAAGGCCAGACGAAGCCCTCTTTGAGATGCAAACCACCCTTTTGAAGGTACACTCAAGGATGGAGCACCAATGCTGCCGGATCCTTCTCTGCCTTTCCTCAACCTTTTGTCCTGTTTTCACCATGCTTGGGAGTCCAATACTTCAGACCACTGGGTCCTTTGGAAGGTGAAAGTAGGTGACTCTGTCTTGTTTTCTTCCCTCTCACTTCCTGTCCTCCCCACTCCATCCCTCTTCAGCGACCCTTTTCATAAGCAACTTCTACTTCAGGCACACACTCCTGGACTTGGGCACAGTGGAATAAGTTCCTCGAGATTTTAGGGGCAAGGGCTTCTATTCCTATTATTTTCTTGTCTCCAAAGTGAAGGGAGGACCCTTAGCCGTATCCTAAACTTCCAGGAGCCCAATAATTTTGTGGTCAGCTACAAGTTTCAGATGATCACCCTGAACTCTATTCCTGGATACAGGGGACTGATATACCACCCTTGATTTAAAGGACACTTCTTTTTACATTGTGATCAAGCCATCCCACAAAAACAGTACAGGCAGTCCCCGACTTACATGGATCCGACTTACGTCGGATCCCTAGATACGAACGGGGTGAGGCAACTCCCGCACATGCGCAGCAGCATTCCCGGGGCTTGCTCACCTGGGTCCTAGGATCCTCCTCCTCCTCGGGCCGGCTCCGACTGGGGTCCCGCAGAGCTGCCGGGCAGAGGAAAAGTGCCTCCCCCTTTCAAAACATGTTGGTTGTTGGTAATGTGACTTTTCTGGGAAAGCAAGTAGGATTCTCATTTGGCTTAAACATTTAATTTCTTTAAAGGTGCTAAAACAAATTTATACTCATGGTAATCAGGTGCATCTCACTTAATTCCAACATTACAAGCCAAATTTACTGTAAAATCTTGCTTTGTAAATTTAATTGGAGACCCGACTCTGGATCAGCATCACTGATTTTTTTTTCATCCAGCTTTCTATTCAAGAATGAAGTTTGCTTTTAAATGTCTTTTGTAGTTTATGCAAAGAACAACACGTCCATCATTGCTTTTATCATATGTATGACACTATACTCTTTATGATGGACATTATATTATGATTACCTTCATAAATATTGCAAATAAATCTGGAATCTGATGCTCTAGAATTCTGGCTCAGAATCAATGGGAGTTAGGTGCCTAAAAATATCTTTGTGGCTCTGGGCCTCTATATTTGCACCTAAGTATGTACAGGCAGTCCCCGGGTTACATGGATCCCACTTACATCAGATCCCTACTTACAAACGGGGTGAGGCAACCCCGCACTAGCTGCTTCCCCCCAGAAGACCAGGGAGATGCGGAGCGGCTTTTCTCAGCAGACACCTCAGCTTGAGAATAAAGGACTGAGGGAAGTGAGGTGTGGGAGAATAAAACTGAGCTCTGGAGAAATGTTTGGCTAGAGTTTCCCCTACAATATGTACCAGTTCCGACTTGCATACAAATTCAACTTAAGAACAAACCTACAGTCCCTATCTTGTACGTAACCCGGGGACTGCCTGTATCTCCAGATTCTGCTTGACTCCTCAAGGGCCTGGCTGTTCTTATGGACCACCACTTCATGAAGCTGACCGAGCTACTGAGGTCTCTTTCTGACTTTCTGGTCACCACGGCCTGCACGTGCCTCAAGCTCCTGAATCACATGGTGGCTTGGAGATACATAGTACTATATGCCAGCTCCATCTGCAGCCACCCCAGTCTTGGCTGTTATCAACATATCACCCGGGTTGGGACAGTATAGACATGGTACTCACAGTACCTTACCATCTCACTCACACCCTTCATTGGTGGCTAAATTCTGGATTGGTTTTGAATCCTCACCTCACCACTCAAGCTATGTGGTTGGAAGAGGAATTGTCCCTCCATCTCAATGTGTGTGAGCTACAGGCAGTCCGTCTCACATGTCTGGCCTTCTTCTCTCACCTTCAGGGTCACTACATGGTGGTAATGATGCGCAATACGACTGCCATGTATTATATCAACAAACAGGGTGGAGCGAGGTGGGTGGTCCTCCTTTTGTACCAAAGCTCTTCATCTATGGGACTTGTGCATAGCCCATTCTGTTCATCTGGAGGTGTCATACCTTCTGGGGGTTCAAAAGCAGCTGGCAGACCGCCTCACTTGGCATTTCCTAGCTCATGAGTGGTCAATTTTGCTAGATGTCCTCCACACTGTTTTCCAAGTATGGGGGCTTCCCCAGATAGACGGCTTCACTATCTGAGACAATCAGAAATGTCCATAGTTCTGCTCATTCCAGGACCCTAGCAGACACATTCCAAATCTTGTGACTATCCTGCTGTATGTCTTTCCCCCATTTCCACTGGTCCGCAAGGGACAGGATGAAAGTCATTCTGATAGCCCTGGCTTGGGCACATCAACACTAGTACCCTACCCTCCTGGACCTGTTGGTTTAATCACCCATTCTGTTTCTCTTGCTCCCAGACCTCATCGCTCATGACAACGGTCACCTCCACCACATGGACCTGCACTCTCTTCATCTCACAGCATGATGGCACCATGGTTGAACCCCACTGAGCTGGCCTGTCCTGAGCTGGTCTGTTGGGTTGTTCTCAGCAGTAGAAACCTTCCACTTGACTCACATGTCTGGTGAAATGGAAGCTCTTCTCCTTTTGGTGTAGAAAATTTTAGTGTTTCATGAAATATAGCTTTCTTGTAGTATAAGAATGAATGTTAAACAATTATAACTGTCTGTCGCTCTTCTCTGGTTAGCATCAAACAGACTGCTTGTGTCCGTATCTGATGTCAAGACAGAAAGAAATCAGAAGGATCCTTACGATTCAGCATTTTCACACTATTGCTTTTAGAAGTAGTTAGACTATAGATTGTGTTAGTAATTTTTTTAATTCATTCATCCTAATAGAAGCTTTTTATTGGAAATAGATTTATACATTTTGTATGGACAATTGTATCCCTTTTCTCATGTGTGAATAAATAATTGTGTAGTTCCTAGGGAAAGGGGAGTGAATGAGTTTGGAATGTGAGTGTTGGGAGAGGAAGCAATAAAATGCAGAGGTGCCAAGCTACCACCAATTGGGCCCAATATAAGACAGACGAATGCAGGACATTTTAGATGGCCTTGGAGTGTTGAGGATAAGCATCCCTTTACAAACAAGACAGCCTTGAGATCAACACTGGTATGGAGGCACCAACATACTGATGTCAGAGTAAAGAATAACTCCCAGACAAACAGATATTAAGCAGAATGGATAGTGATTAAAAGATGATGCAGCAAAACATATAGACTTAAATGGAAGAAAAGTATTATAAAAGATGTCATCTTGTCAAGATTGAAGCATCAATCCAGACTGAAAGAAGCCCCTGTTCCTCCTCCTCACACTTAATGCACCTGGCCAGTGAGTTAATGTGAGCAACAGACTGGTAACTTTAAGTAAAAGCAAGATGGGCTTTGTGTGTGTGTGCGTGTAGGTGTGTGTGAATATGCATATAACATAATAGTGTTACATTGTTAATAAATATGGAGTTTTGCTTTATCCCCCTAAAAAGATCCTGTGAAATTCTTTCAAGTATAACATTGGTGTCTCCAGTGTGATCTGATGCCCTTGTCGGCCTCCATTCTCCAGGTGCTAGAGTACCTGGTATTCTTGAAACATCAGAGCCTAGCTACCACCTTATTGAAGTTCACCTGGCATCTATTTTGGCCTTTCCGTCAAGTGGGGCTGGTCGCTACATCCTCTCAAGCCCCCTGATTGGGCACTTTCTCAAGAGTATGGATAGGCTCCACTTACCAGTCCCGCACCTGGCCACTGCGTGGCATCTCAACCTGGTCCTCTCAGCGCTCACAGGTCCCCCCTTCCCTTGAGCCTTTAGCAACATGTTCATTACTTTATCTTTCATGGAAGGTGGCTTTTCTTGTTGCCTCCCCTTTGCTAGATGAGTGTCAGAAATCTGTGCTCTGTCTGAACCCCCCCATAACACAGTCTTCCATAAAGATAAGGTTCTGCTTCACCCTCACCCAGCTTTTCTCCTGAAAGTGGTCTCTATCGTCCATCTAGGTTAGGACATTTTCCTTCCAGCTTTCTATCCCAAGCCTAACCAGAGCTCGGAAGAAGAGACCACACTCACTAAATGTCAGACAAACTCTTGTATTATACATCAACAAGATTAAGCCCTTTCCTAAATAGTCACAGCTGTTCATAGCAGTTGGCAGACCGGACAAAGGGGCTACCAGTCTCATTGCAGTGCATCTCCTGGATCATGGCATGCATCCTCACGTTATGACCTTGCTAAACTTTTCCCACCGCCTTTCAAGACACACTCCATGTGGGTGCAGTCCTTCTCAGCTACTTTTCTGGCTCATATTCTTCTCTAGGAAATCTGCAGTGCTGTGACACGGTCCTCAGTTCATACCTTTATGTACACTACACTATTGTACATCAGTCCAGACATGATGCAGCTTTTGGGGCCACAGTCCTTGAGTCAGCTTACTCATTTCTCCAACCCTTTCTCCTGGGTAAGGCTTATGATTCACCTCAATTGGAATACATATGAGCAAGCACTCGAAGAAGAAGAATGGTTACTCGCCTTTGTAACCGTTGCTCTTCAAGATGAGTTACTCGTATCTATTCCATACCCACCCTCCTCCACTGTTGGAGTAGCTGGAAAGAAGGAAATGAGGGGTGGTCGGGTCAGCAGGGTCACATAGCGTATGCTGCACCGAAGCCACTTGGAGGGGCTCCACAGCCGACCTAAAGGATAGCAGCTAGGGAAACCTTTCCAGCTGTCATTCATGTGGCGCATGCACACCTCAGTTGGAATAGAAGAACAAGTTACAGAGGTGAGAAACTTTTTTCCTGCCTTGTAGAGTTGCCTTGGAAAGGCAGATGCTCACACAGGCTTTTTTAAAAAAACATTGGCGTGGGGAAGTAAGGGCTATAGTGAGGGGGATGTGATCTGCCTCTCTCCACTTATAACCTTTCTCTCCAAAACACAGACCTTTACTATTTCAGCTCAGGAGTAACTCATTTAGCCAGATGATGGTAATAGTAGATGCTTATCCCTTCATGTGTGCCAGTCACTAGAGGAAAACAAAGATACCCTGGGCTTAGGCACTACACATTTCTTCTGTCTGGAGGAGCTCATCCTGATTCTCTGAGATATGCAGCTGTTTACAGCCCTGTACAGATCACCATTAGAAAGCCTCCCCAGCTCCCCATATAGGTCATCATAGAGAATTTGAATAGATGTGGATCCAGTAACCATGTCTGCAGGAGCTCACAACTGGGAGTGCCTTTCTCAGGGAGGACTATCCAAACAAGGCAGATACTCCCAAACTTCGTGTGTGTTTTACAGGTAGATTTTACCAAGCCATTGACAATTGTGAATTTCTGGATCAGTTTTACCATGGAGGTACAGAGTCTAGGAACTACCTTGCCACCAAAGCAAATGGGATGGCGTGATAAATGGTCACTTTCACAAAGAATCACACCAGATTCAAGACTCGGGGACCTCCCAAGGGCTCAGGCACCCCTTTTGATTCTCTGTTTTGTTTCTTTGTCTCCTTCTGCAGGTGGTGAGGGCCATTAGCACCATCCTGCTGGGCAGGGTTATCTACCTGGGTGACCTTTTGTTGCCAGATTTGCAGCTCTGGGCTTCCCCCAATTGTGGGGTAGGGATGCTGTTGATGGAACCATCATGCCCCTGAACACTGGGCAGCACAGTACATCATTTGCAAGGGATACTTTTTTCAATGGTCCTGCAGGCCCTGGTCGACCACCACAGGCAGTTCATGGACATTTTCATCGTCTGGTCGGGAAAGACGCACAACACCCACGTTTTCCACAACTCCAGCCTGAAGCTGGAGGCTGGCACTTTCTTCCCTAAGCACAGCATCAGGGTCGGGGATGTTGAGATGCCACTGTGCATCATGGGGGATGAGGCCTAACCCCTAATGCCATGGCTGATGAAGCCATGCAGCAGCCACCTGGACCGGTCCAAGGACGGGTTCAGTGGCCACCTGGGAAGGGCCTGCATGCAGGCCGAATGCACCTCTGAGCACTTGAAGGCATAGTTTGGGTGCCTCCTGACCTGCCTCGATGTGGGGAAGCACAACACTCCCCAGATGATCTCCGCTTGTTGTGTTCACCACAACATCATGGAGAGGAAGGGGGAGGCCTTCCTTCTGGGATGGGGAGCAGAGGCCAGCCAGGAGAGTTGGGCCTTCAAGCAGCTGTGCACAGCTACCATGCAGCCGGCCCATCAGGTGGGGGTGCGTATCCAGCAGGCCCTGAGGGGCATGTGCCTTGCCTCTCTCTTCCTTTCCCACAACAACCCCCCCCAACCCCCTAGACCTTTTTTCCCTGCAGACACAATAAAAACAACTGTTTCGTTTTGAAAAAAAACCTGTTTGTTTGATTTTTATTTGGGATAGAAGTAACTGGGGAGGGAGGGGAGCTGAGAACCTGGAAATGGGAAGGAGGGCAGGGGGCTGAGAAACTTGGAGGGGAGAAGAGAGGCTCAGAGCTGGGGCTGAGACTGGCATGTGGCTTAGGTGCTTTTTTTGACTCGTGTCCCGGGACCTTGGTAATTTCGGGGTTGGAGGGGTATAGGCAGAAGGGGGGCCTAGAGCTAGGTCAGGCATGGGAGGGGGAGCGGGAGCGGGGACTGGAGTTGGGACAGGAACAGGGACTGGGACTGATGCCGGGTAGGTCATCATCTCCTGGATGGTCTCACACATGTTGCAGCCCTGCTGCAACAGCTCAGTCCACATTTGGGCCCACCACTGTGGGTCATCCTGGACCTTTTTGGCCAGTGTCTGCTGCATGTCCTGGAGAATGGACACGTGCTCCCTCCTGGAGTCCTCCTGCACCCTCCAATGCCTGTGGCTCTCCTGGGGTGAGGCAACTGGCTTGGCTGCTGGTGATTGCCCCACAGTCATGGCTAGTCCTGCTGGGGAGAATAAAGAGCGATTGTCAGTCATCCCTGGAGACACTGTCCCTGAGGCCGTGCCCTCATCAGTGAGCTGAGAGCAACAGTTCATGGATCAGAGGAAGATGATGTCCCAGGAGCAAGATGACCTTGTAAATAACAGTCTTGTCTCCCTCCTCTCCCCCCCCCCCCCCCCCCAGTCTTCTCCCCACACACACGCCCCATGGACAAGGCAAGGGAAATTGCTGGCCATACAGGGATCCAGTGGCCAGGAGAGGGGCCTCGAGAGGGTCCCCTTCCATTGGGGCCCCACACCTGCACCTGGCAGCACTGGCCCTGAGAGACATTCCTATGTTCTGTGTGTGGCACTCCAGAGTCTGTGTGCAGGCAGGCATGTGCCCTTGTCCCCAGCTTCCTTTCAGTGGTGGTTAGTGGTCCCCCCCAGGAGTCAGAGGTGTGGGCAGCCTCCCCAGAGCCTGTGAGCAGGGGCCAGGGTTGCTCTGGTGCTGCCTTCTGGAGCTGTGTGGCGCAGACTGGCATGGCACATGCATCCACATGCATTGACTGCAGCGCGATGGCCAGACCAAGAAGACCAAGTGACGATCGCACCACATCCCCTCTGTGCCTATCACCCCAACTCTGTGTGTGTGAAAAACTGGGAGCACTCACCTGATGATCCCTCCCTGGCCTTGGAGGATGCATGGGAGACATCCAGGCCATGCGGTACAGGCTCCAATGTGAGCATGGTCACTGCGCTGGCCATTTCCTTCTCCTGCTCCTCGTGATCCGGGACCCCTGGGCGTGCGACGACGGGTGTTTCCAGCCCCGAGTCCACCACAAGAGGTGGTGAAGGGGCTGCACTGCCCCCCAGAATGCAGTGGAATTCATCATCGTAGGGGCAGGAGTGGGGTCCTGCACTCCCTCACCCTGGCGTAGGTCTGCCGGAGCTCTTTCACCTTCCTCCGGACCTGCTCCAGGCACTTGGTATGGTCCTTCGTGGCCAGGCTCTCGGCCATCCAGCCACACATATCAGCATTCCACCGTCTGGAGCAGAGATCTTGGAGGTTCTACTTGTCGCCCCATACCTCCAGGAGGGCCAGGTTCTCCACCCCAGACCAGGTCAGTGCATGCCTTTTGTGGCCCTGGCAGGCTCCTGGGAGCCCTGTGTATGCTCCCTGGAATGGGCAGGGAATGTTGGGGGGCTTGTGGCTCAAACATGGTGGCCAGATGTGTGGCACTGTGACCTGCACTGAGGCTAGAAACTATCAGGGCCTACTTCCTGCCACAAGCCCTGTCCCCTGTGTCTACAGCTTTAAGAGCTCCCAAGAAACAGGAACTATAGAATTGTGATGAATGTTGCCAGTGGCCAGAAGAGCACCTGTGTTATTTCCTGGAGGCCTGTTTTTCTCTTTAACCCTCCCTATTCCATGTCCACACATACCCTGGGTATGTCTACACTACCACCCTAGTTTGAACTAGGGTTGTTAATGTAGTCATACGAACTTGCAAATGAAGCCCAGGATTTGAATTTCCCAGGCTTCATTTGCATGTTGCTGGGTGCCGCCATTTTTAAATGACCGCTAGTTCAGACTCCGTGTCGCGCGGCTACCCGTGGCACGAACTAGATAGTTGGGATTAGGGTTCCTATTCTGAACTATCTGTACGCCTTTTGAAATGCCACCACTGCATTTAAATGGAGTCCGGGGTCAGCTGGGGACTCCAGCTCATCTTGGGTTCCATGCAGCGCTGCCCCTGTGAAGTGCTGGGGCATTGTTTCCAAGGAGCAGCACAAGGCATTCTGAGCAGCATTTCTCCAGAACTCAGGGTCTGGGGAAATGCCAGGAGGAGCCCGGGATCAGCTGGGCAGTCCCCAGCTGACCCTGGGCTCCATGGCAGCTCCCCCTTTAAAATGCTGCCTCTGGCATTTCAAAGGGGCAGTTGCCATGGAGCCCAGGGTCAGATGGGGACTGCCCAGCTAATCCCGGGCTCCCCCTGGCATTTCCCCAGAAGCTGGAATCAGCTGGGGTGTCCCCAGCTGACCCTGGGTTCCAGAGAAATGCCACATGGAACTCTGGGTCAGCTGAGGAGTCCCCAACTGACCCCGTTCTATGCTGCACTTCCCCGGAACCCAGCTAATCCCGGGCTCCCTGCGGCATTTCCCGCCAGAGAATACACTAAGAATGTTAAAGACTAGTCGACTACTTGACTATCCGATAAGCATTCACTTATCAGATAGTTTTTTGACTAGTCGACTAGTCTCTAGGCACTTCCACATTCCTCCTTTGAAAGGCACAAAAGCCCCTGCTGGATGCCTTCTTTTAAATGCTTGGTACTCTTTGTGCATTTCAAAGCCACGGAGCCCGGGATCAGCGGGGGACTCAGAATGTCCTGCTGACCCTGGGCTCCATGCTACGCTGCATGCTGCTAGGAGCCCAGGGACAGCTGGGGACTCCCCAGCTGACTCCAGGCTCCCCGGGAAATGCCTCAGGGAGCCCGGGATCAGCTGGGGAGTCCACAGCTGACCCCGGACTCCATGTGACATTTCCATGGAAATCCGTGAAGCATTTCAAAGTGGCAGCGCCTCCTGGAGCCCCTGAGAACAGCCTTTCTCCATCCTCTTTGGAACCTCCCTTCAGGAAGTAGAAGGCTGCTCTCAAATCCCCCCTCACTCTTCTCTTTTGGGGTATGTCTATACAACAAAGTTAATTCGAACTAACAGACGTTAGTTCGAATTAACTTTAATAGGCGCTACACATACAAACCGCTAGTTCGAACTTAATTCGAACTAGTGGAGCCCTTAATTCGAACTAGGGAAACCTCATTCCACGAGGACTAACGCCTAGTTTGAATTAAGTAGTTCGAATTAAGGGCTGTGTAGCCACTTAATTCGAA